CATTCCTTTTGTGTATTGATGCTTGTAAAGTTACCGAAGCTGGCAGATGTACGTGAGAAAGCAAAAGGAATATGGAAGTACCGAAAGACATGTTTTGCTATTGTAGCAGATTCACAAAGCTGGCATCTAAAAATCTAACTCTTGTTGTCCTCTCTTGTGTTTTCTAGCAATTATTCCTGTTTAGTAGAGCAAATAAAAATCCTTCCCTTCTGTGTTTATTTTTTCAATTAAATATCTAAAATTGTGACATATGTATTGATTCCAGAGAAGCAGTACAATAATTGTTAGGTAAATCAAATCAATATCAATCCATAAATCTTTAAAAGTTTTTCCTATAGTTGGTCAATACACACATTTAAACTTAGAAGACAAACCAGAATACCAGTATAAATTCTTGAGCTTCATTTTTATTTTGCATTTAGATGAATGAATGCCTGCGATATTAATAAGGATGTTTGATTTATAAATGTGTACTAAGCTCAACATATCTTTTATGAAGACAAGAAGACAAAAATTAATTTTGAAATATATACAGAATGGCCCAAAAGTCGAACAAAAGCGTTAAAGAAACATGCTTGTTATTCATTGCTATAAAACTCAGCTCGGTTAACTGACTTTTGGGTATACTGTATTTAAATAAGCATTAAAATTATGCTCGTTATTTGTTAAAATACAAAACGATTGTATTAAACTACATTTTACATCAAAACTTTTTATAAAATGTAACCAAAAATACAGCTAAAATCGTGTAAAAAACGTAAAATTTTCATTATCGGGTTTTATTGTATTTTCTTTTGTTTATGTCAATAATGCGAATAGTCCCGAGACTCTTTTAAAACTACACCACAGGGTCAACAAACGTTAAACTAAACAGATAGAATAGTAGCTATTAGCTAGTAAATGTAGCAATTTCTTATATTGAGCTCGTTTCTACCTCGATACTGCACTGAGAAAAATTTTATATGTCGAAATGTTTTGTAAACTTACGACGTTTTAAAGTAAACTGTCATCGTTTCAGGATAAAGTGGACTGAAACGAAAAATGGAGTGAAAAATTCCTCGTGATGAAAACATTTTCGATATGCAACTATTCGTGATTTATTCCTTTCTAGCTTTCATTTTAAAACACTACAAATGCTCGAAACCGATAATATTTTACTAAAACTATAAGGATAAAATATTAAGGCTAGAGGAAAAAATTTTTTTTGCCATTACGATATTATTTTTATGCGATTAAAACCGCTTTAATCAATAATTAAAAACCGCATATTGTATGATACCAAGGTAGAGAACATCAACGAAACTTTATTCTTAATTTACTGACATTGATGTAATAATAATTAAGTCTACACGAAAACATACAATTCATGCTCTCTTATTACATTAGAATCTCGATTAACCAAGATAAACGGAATCGATACCGTTTCGATTAACAGAAATCTTCCTGTTCCCAGATAAATAACATGCAATAATGGTATATTTTATCCGGTTCCCCGGGCGTAGCTGATTTTCCTTATTTTTGCATCGATTTTCTCATGGGAAAAAAAAGATCATAAATTAATACATACATTTTAATTCATGGATATTACTATCTCAGAAATTACAAAATTATATTTATCTTTTGAAAGATGTATTATTATTATTAGCACTTAAATTTATTGTCAGTGAAGGAAGATAAAATTCTTGCTAAATAAGAGATAATAAATTAATATCCTAGATTTATAATACAAGTAAAAAAAAAAAAGTTTAAAAAGAGATAGGCGTTGGCCTCTCACTTCTTTTTAACATTCTTTACTCACAGCATTAGGAAGGTGCCAATTCAACGTTAGGAGAAAAATGGAATTCAATCCCAACACCGATCGAACCTGCCTGATGAAACCAAAAACATATCACATAGCCAACCAGATGGCCTTGCACTCATGGTTTTTATAGCACTATTTGCAACTTTCCTATTCCTAAATCTTCAAAAATAGAAAGATTACTCCACAAGAATAAGGTTAAAATTGGGAAATAATTCTTAACATTATTATTGTGTCACTGTTTAATGAGACAGATTTAAAAATGAAAAAAAAAAAAAAGAAAGAAAAGTTATAAGTATTTTTCTAAAAAATGTGAGATATTAAATGATCATTAGTCTATGCTAGGAATTTGAAAAATAATTTTCTTCATCTCTTAAAATCAAATATAAATTTTTATTCCTTCTGATGTTTTTTTTAATAATTAATATTACTTATATTCATTCATTTCTTAAAAGGCAATATTTTGATCATAACCACTAATTTTTCCCTATAATTATTAAAACATTCCATTAGCCAACACATTTTTAAATTCCAATATTTAAAATTTTATTTTTTACATTTGTTTTTCCTCTACTCTTTTCTTCATTATAGAAAAAAGCCATTTTACCTTTAAAACAGAACATGTGACAATTGATACTAGCACTTTCCATACTCAATATCTATAGAATGTGCAGGTATCATTACTCAAGATTGTAGAAAATATCATTAATTTTCATTTTAGGCCTTTGTGAATCTAGAAAGCCGAGCGAAGCGGAAATAAATGGAGCGCAAGGATCATTATTGATATTATATCTAATCTACATTACTATAGAAAGCATTAGAAATTTATATTTCTCATGTTGACTGTACAAAGTGAATTCAATTAAATTATACGGCTAACTATAATGAATTAAAACCATTGCATCTACAGTATTTTGCTCATTAAAAATTAAAAAGTTAACCTATGCAGTTTAATATTAATATTACTGGTCTTACTCTCTTGTGGAATTACATAAACATTGTAAGTTTATAAATAAAAAATGTTAACAAAACTATACTTAAAAGGAATGAAGTATATATAGCTGTCATTTGAATTTTTAATACAAAATTTAACTTGCTCTTAAGTCATAAAATATATTATTAAAAAGATAAATATTCCTTCAAAAACAATATTTTCTTGGAAGTTCAAAATTAACCTGATAAACATGTTATCGGCTTAATTTTTTCCCCTATTGATCGAGTAATTAATGCTTTGCAAAATTATCTGATATTATCTGTTCTTTCATTTGTGAATAAAATTAATCTAAATTATTCCTGTTCATTGATTAATGAAAGCATTATCTAAATTTTTATTCTTTATAAATACCAGTACCCTATTTTTCTTCTTTTTTTTTTCCTCCTTAATTCAATGTTTCTAAAACTTTATAATTTTAGTCACATGTCTTTAAGCCAGAAATTTATTTCATAAATTAAAATGAAAATAAATTGTTGTTTGAAAAATTTAATTAATTCAATTACAGGTAATAGTATTTCTAAATGTTTAATATGAATGAAATTACCAAATTGATTTCTGCACAAAATGAGATTTAAAATTAGAATATTTTCCAAGTAAGGTTTTTTTTATGTACATAATCTTTTTTTTATTCCTATTCCTACTACTTTTTTTAATAAAGTTTCTATTATGGGGCTAAATTAAATTAAACTTTTATAATTAAGGTCATAAGATTATAAAATTTGTTTAGGTCACATGGCCTTGATAACTTTCTTACAAAGAAAAATGCATTAGAATTTAATTACTTTTAAAATTATTTTTTGAGTTAATTATTTTGTACTTTATTTTAAATCCTAAATAAAAATATGATTAAAAACAATAGAAACTAAATTTTCATATATTGTTTACAATTTAAAATTTATGTAAAAAATATATTGAAAGTTTATAAGCAATTATAAAAAATTTATAATGCTACAATATTAAAATTACATACAGTATTGTGTGTATTTTATAATAAAAATTTGTTTTAAATTTATAGAAAATTTTTATGTTACTAAATATATAATCAATAAGAAAAAATATATTTGTCAATAATTGTTACACATCACTGAATCATCATTAACACATTAACATATATATGCAAAATGCATTAAATATATAGATTTTACCTGATCAAAGTGGATTAATGTGTAATTAACACTATAATAAGATGCACATCAATGCACATATATTAAATGAATGAGCTACAAATAATTTTGAAATAAATTAAGTTGGAATTACAGGATCAAAAATCCATTAACTAGAAGATATATATATATATATATATAAAATTTTACTAATCCATAACAATAAAGATTTGTATATATGTTCTATACATATAAATATATATATTCTAATTATGATAATTATCATTCCTAAATATTTAAAAACTTTTATTGAAGTATTGCATAAAAAATTATTTATAGGCTTGTTTATAATATGATAAATTTAAAAAATAAAATTTTAATGAAATACAACTTGCATCAGAAATTTTGTTCAAGCATTTGGATTCATGCAAATTCACTCAGAAATCTATAAATTCTTAAATTTATAAAATTTTTATATAATTAATCTACAACTTAAATATTAAATTAATATCTCCTAGAAAGATATTATCTTAGAGAATGTACTTATTATTTTAAGATGTAAATTATAGAATAATAAAATTTTGTTTTTATAGATTTTTCACTGTTTTTATAAAATCAGAATTAAATTTCAATATTACAATATATCAGTTTTGATAAATTTGATATATATTGTAATCAAGTCAACAGCTCGAAGACTTTAAAATAAAAAAAAAATAATAATAATAATGATCTGTTTCAAAGACCAATTTATGTTTTGGTCAATGATTTATTATATATCATTTTTTGCAACCAATATAATACTAAGATAGTAAAACAACCATTAAACATGAAAATATTTTAAAAATATAATATCTTCTAATAGTATATTCATATTTCTGTTTAGAATATATATAACTTTTTTGAGAATATATTTTAAAGTCATAAATCTATTTGTGCAATTTCAAATCAAATTGTAGAATTTCAAAAGGCAAAATTCTTATTATCTGGTGTATTTTGATATATTTTCAAATATAAATCGAGCAATAACAACAAAAATATATTATTGATACTCATAGAATTGAATTTGAAAATATTTTTATTTCTTATATATGAATTTAATATTTTTATCACAATGTAAATATTACAAGCAAATTTTATAGTAGCCATGTTCTAGATTATTAACCAAAGACATTTTTCAAATAGCAGAAAATTCTACCACAGAATATATTAATCCTTACAATGTATGCAAAGTTACATTCTAGAATAAATCTGGGATTAAAATTGACAAAATAAATTAGACTTTGTTTACAATTTTTTAAATTTTATGCATAGCACATGACAAATTAATCAAACTTCTTTTAAAAATAGACATTTCCATTTTACTTTAATGTGCAGTCTATTTAAGTGCAGATTTTAATTATATTTAAACAAAAATTAACATAAATAACACAAATTACAATGTTTAGAATAAAATTATTTATGATTTTGAATAATTTTTTTGTTAAAAAAATTTATAATTATATAAAAAAATAACAATGCCCTTTAATAATTAATTATCTTTAAAGTCAAATTATATTAATAATTCACCTGAGATTCTTAATGAAAAGATTGATGTAAATTAACTATTTATAATCAATTATGATTTATAAATAATATAATTTCTTATAGAGGAATATACTTTTAGGCTTAAAAATTTTCTAAAGAATAGTTTAATTAAGGTTTATCACCATCAGCATTTAAAGTCTTTAGATAATCATTATATTTTTTTTCTTGTAGTGTATACAATTTTAATAATTTTTTTACTTGTCCTTTACTAAGTGGTTTTCCTTCAATATCATGTGTAGGAAGACCTTTTTCATCAAATTCAGAATACTTATCTGTTTCATTTTTAAACAATTCCCAAGGAGGAATCTTTTTCTGAGCATCTTTAGCAGCTTGAATTTCTAGCATTGCTTGCTTTGCTAATTCCTTTTCTTTGCGTTTTTCTTCTTCTATTTTTAACTTCATTTCTCTCTCTTTAAGCAAAGTTTCCCGATCTACCAATTTTAAAATAGGTGGCTGTCCTTCCTGATCTTCTAACCTAACACCTAATTCTGGTAGTATATCATCTCTAAGTTCATCACATAATTTCAATAAATCATTTGCTTTATATTGCCTACTAGATAATCTTACTTTATATCTAAAATCAGCTAAAGCATTTAAGATTGGAAATAATAATTTTTCATTATTGATATTTTCTAATTCTTTTTGAGGAAATCCAATTGCCTTTTCTTCTGATATTACACCAAATATTTTACATATTTCTGTTATATAATTTGCTATATTCTTTAGTATTAATCCATTTACAGCTTGTTTATTCAGCATTTTTTCTCTAATATAGATATTACTTGCTGTAATTAAATCACGGATATAGTCGAGTGCCCTTCTTGTGTCAATATTATCACAAAGAGATTCGTGCACATACATTTTAGTTTCAAAAAATTTATTATTTAGATTTACTTCTTCTTCATTCCATTTCTGAAAATTTTGTATATCAGAATCTGTTATTGTTCGAGTAATGCTTTTAACAGTTAGAAAAAATTCTTTCATAAACTTTTCATACTGAATAGCAATTTCCATTGTATTTTCACTATAATCCAAACTATCTTTCCAAGAATGAAGTAAAAATGCCAATCTTAATTGGCTAGAGGAATGTTTTTGCAAAGCTTCCTTTATTGTAATAAAATTTTTTAAAGACTTTGACATCTTGCAACCAGATATCGTTAAATGTCCAGAATGTAAAAAATATCGAACCCAATGATTGTTGTCATAATAAGCTTCGGCTTGAGCAATCTCATTATCATGATGTGGAAATTTGAGATCAACACCACCTGTGTGAATATCAATAGATTCACCTAATAACGAACTAGCCATAACAGAGCATTCAATATGCCATCCAGGTCTTCCTTTACCCCAAGGAGAATCCCACAATGGTTCACCAGGTTTGGATGCTTTCCACAATGCAAAATCATTTGGACTTTTCTTCTGTTTAACTCTATCTTCAGAAACACTAAGATCTCCTTCTCCTTCATTTAAAGCATTAGTGTCTCCGAAAGCTTCGGGTACAAGTTTGGCATAATAATGATTACGACACCGATCGAAGGCCATAGTATCAAAGTAAACAGAACCGTGCGATTCATAAGCCATACCATTATTTATAATCTTCTCTATATACGCTATAATTTCAGGAATGTATTCGCTGACTCTGGTAACAACATCGGCAGGAAGTACATTTAATGCATGCATATCCTTGTAAAATTCTTCTTCCCAAAACCTAGGAAGAGACCTAAATATGGAATTATCAGTAACTTCAGCACCATGTAATGCATCTAACCAGTTAGAAAGAACATCTTTGACATTATCCAATAAGCTTTTCTTAGCTAAATCATTCATATCATTTTCAGCATTTTTAATTGCATCTAAAGTTTTAGAAATTGTTTGTTCTTGAAGCTTCTTCTTATCTGGATCATTAGTCGATTTTGATTTTTCGACGTAAGCAGTTAAAGCATCTTTAACATCCTTCAATACTTCAGAAATACTACATTCTTTATTAGCGTATTGATTAAAGAGATACTGCTGTCTAGCACGTTGAATGATCTTGTCATCGATATCAGTTATGTTCATGACGTAAAACACGTCATATTTAAAGTAATCAGACAATATTCTTCTTAAAATATCAAAGGAAATATAAGACCTGGCATGACCCATATGAGAAGCATCGTAAACAGTCGGACCACAACTGTACCATAATACTTTTTTCCCGTTTTGCGGAATAAATATCTCTTTCTGCCTAGTGAAACTATTATATAATTTTAATTTAGGTAATTCTGTACCTTGAGGAGCTAACCAGGGAGATAATGTTCTTTTAGATTTTTCAGTTTCCATCTTCTAACTTCACTTACAACCACGTTTACCGGTTGCATCAGCCAAGCCGACTGACTCTAGAAAGTAGCAAAAAATATAGCCAAAATAACGCCGGTTAATAATAATTTATATTTATTATTCTGAACAAGAATTAATGTTTAATAAAATTTTAGACGAATTAAAATAAAATTAATATTTATTTTGTAATATTTGTTTATGTACACTACAACACAAGCTTCTTTCAGAATCGATCTCCAACATGGATGAACAGTAGAGAATATCTCGGCTCGAATTATCTATGAATATAATCAATCAGTAGCATTTGGATCTAACCGGATGGCTTTGGCGTTAAGGCCTGAACAAAACATACTGGATGACTCGGGATTTAATCCGGCGAGCAATCCCAGAAATTTTTTGAGTTGTTTATCCCGGATGATGTCGGGTCCATCCTTTAACACCGGGCTGCCACCATTGTGGGCCTGGCCGAAACCCACGGTCAAGGACTTTAAACTACAAGGATGGCCAGATCCCGTATATTTGTTAGCATGACCTTGGATCTATGTGACGTCACAGCAAGTCTTCTACTTCAACATCACAGACCTTTCAAATAAGAAAATACGATAAAATATTAAATCATTTCTTAATTAATTATTAAATTACTACTAAATGTAAACTACTGTAGAATTTTCGGATTTAATAAGTGTACTGTACGTCAATAAATTTACAAGTCTTTTGTCTAATATTTATTTAACAAATTAATGAGCTATATTTTTTATTATGTGATTATCTTACTTAACTTTTTAATTTTTTTTCGACAATCACCATTTTCAGAAGGCATTCTTTTCAATATTTTATAGTTTTCTTGTTTAAGATTTCTATAATTAATTCTTATTATAGTTCTTAATTTACAAAAATCTTTTATTAAAGTAAAAGGTAAAACTGTTTCCACTGACTAATTCTGTACAACTCCGGGGCCTTTTTTATACGATTCATCGTGATATATTTCGAAATATTTATTCCATTCTATAATTTTTGCTAGCCATTCATCAGTAGGTTTAATAAGCCCTCCATAAGATAAATGTTGCACCCATGACGGAATGCTATAGTTGTAATGATTTTTAATTTTGTTAGTGGAATTAATTAAGTTTGGGTATTTTTCTTTATATTTATAGGCAAAATATCCTGCTATATACTCGAGAGCATCGTAGGAAGTTTCTTCAGAGATTGTGTTAAAGTCTAGATTGCATGTAGAGTTTCCTGAAGATTTATTTGAAGAAAAAGTAGTTTTACATTCAGTATATTGGTCTGTATTTTCACTTGATACTTCTACATGTGCTTTCTCTAAAACTTTGGGTATAATATATTCCTCTTGTCTTCGATCTGTAGTATTTACTTTTGACTCTAAAATACCAGGATTCTTACCTAAAATAATCAATCTAATCCTATATATAGCATTTAATGGGCTTGGATGTTCATTAGGACCCCGGCTTCTAATTTGAAAAAAAAAAATTTTCCAGACAATCTTGATTTAAGTGCAGATGTATTTTATATCAAAAGTCGATTTCATATCTTGAAAAAGATCAATTAGCGATTTCATTGAGATTATCATTCCTTTCTGGAAAATTTGGAGGGCATTTTTTCCACTTGCTCTCATTGTTGAGATTATTTTTATCATTTTATTTAAATGTTCTTCTTGTAATTCCAAGTCTACACCATATCCATTTTTGCTTGGAACAGAACCTTTTGGTGCATAGCTATTAAAAATGTCGAACCACATATTTATATCTCTAATATACGTTTCATTGATAATAATAATTGATTCATAATAAACGTTTCATTGATATTCACATTCAATTCTTTCCATAAACTTATGTTACTGCAACTACAGTCACTGACGCAAGCTACTACATTATACGATAGTAAATAAAGTTCTGCTATTAATTTTAAAAGTATTTCTCTTGTCATTTTTTGATCAAACCCGATGTAAACAGGTTGCTTCCAATTTGAAAAAAGAAGGTTATTATTGCAACCATACACAGCACACCTAGTACTCAGCATTTTGTTCTTCACCTAACATAAAAATATAGCTTTAAATATTTAATGACTTATATTTAAATCATCTTACCTTATAAAAAACTTAGTCAAATAAAACAATTACAGAAATATTAAAATAAATCACTTCGTTAATCACAAAATTGGACGAATATTAAAAGCGAAAACTAAACACGTGCACACCCTGCTCTAGGTAAACAAAGAGGTCAGGACACGTGTGACGTCACTAACTTGCCATTCCTGGCTAACATTGTAGAATAGAGATCTGGCTATCCTTGTAGTATATTGTCCTTGACCCACGGTGGCATACGAAAAGACCCACTTAGTGCTCACGAGATAAAAAATACTGAATGTCCAATTTAAATACACATATTGTATTTAATTATAATAGAAATATAATCATTTACATATTTCATAACTTGATCGACATAAACTGTAATACAGTCAAACCTTTTTTTCATAATCTCTAATTTCAATCATTACACCTATTTTAACTTCAACTAATAAATGAAATGTGTCTTTGTATCAGGGTTAATATGGAGGTTATTGCGTATCCGCCGAAGATCCGACTATAGCTTTTTTCTTGACTAATCGAGATTAATCGCGAAGAGTAGGGGAAAAATGCCTTTCGAGAAGTCTTATAAGGGTTTTTTTTATCTGGCCCCTGTTTAAGTATTACAGACGGGGATAAAACCTGGAAAACTCCCGTCCTATCCCACGACCGAACTATCAGTATTCAGGGAACAAAACCGCTTGCCCACTAGGGGGCTTAATATGAAACGTGAGATACGAGAAGATGAATACATTATGATTATGTAGCTAATCATAATAAATCTTATTTTGGCCATGCCTGACTTGCAACACGAATTCTGTTAGTGTCAGTGGCGTAGCGTAGTGGGGGCAGCAGAGCCGCCCGCCCCGGGAGGCACTTTTAGGGGGCGGCAAAATTTCACAATAAATAATAACAATATCTTGTAAAAATTTGAACCATTTCATTTCATATTTATGTGGCACCTACTATTCGGACCGATTGAAATGAGCACGGAATTTTTCATTACTTATTCTGTGACGAAACTGAATTTTAGTCTTTTAAATTGAGATACCTAAATAAGGGGGCGGCGAAATTTTCCTCTGCCTCGGGCGGCTGACACCCACGCTACGCCACTGGTTTGTGTGAATGAGGAATGAGGAACGACATCCTGACTTGTAATTAGCAATAATAAATTATTGAAGTCTGGATCGCGTTCGGATCTGAATCTTCTTCGGCGATAAAGAAACAAATTATCATGCGGAAATCAATTTTTTTTTTTGTATAGTTACGATATTAAAAATTGTATTACTAAAATAAATGATTTTAAGGAGTATTAATTATCGTTTATTTCAAAGATGTCAATTATTTGCACTCGAAAATATTTGGGCGAACTATACAACTTCTAATTTCAAAGTGACAAAATGTAACAGAATATTATGTGATATGAAATAACAATTATTTCCACTATCAAACATGAGGATTCAGTGCAGTTGTTAAACTTTTTACTTTTGAGATAAGCATATCAGTAGTGTCTATTACCAATAATTGGATCAATCTGCCGCTCTAGAGGACCTGAAAATAAATCTGGAAAGAGCCTCGGGAATTTTTCATTGTCTGTCTCGGATATGCTAGGAACGGGTTGGCTGCGCGGAGTTTTCAAGCTTTCTTTACGTGTCTAACACGTGTTTTCCATAGAAAGTCGTTCCAGGAGTCACTCCTCCTTGGCAGCTCTCCCTTGTATCACTATTTTATCAATACAATTGTATCCTAGATATGTTAAGCTACGTACTGTAGCTTAACACCGACCGATCTCTCTAACTGAGATCTGGTCAAACCCATAATGTGGACCATTTTTTAAAAAAGTGCTCTTTTAAAGCCTACAAAGTACAAAGAGTAAAAAATGAAAGAAAAAAAGAAAAGAAGAAAAATACAATAATCAAGTTAAAAAATAGTAATTAAGTTTTATTGATTAATCAAAAATTTATTTTTCTAATTTCAAAAATAAGGGAAAATTATTAAAATTTATGGTTTTTAAACTTTAATCTATGATAATACTCTTACTGATAAAAATAAAATTGCCTTTTCCATTGAATTTTATTGCAACAGATATTAGAAATTGAGAATTTCTGCACGGAAAATCAAGATAGTTTCTATTGATCTAATATTACCTAGAATTGATAAGATTTTTACCTAATATAAAATTTTTACGACAACAAAAATACCGTATTAATGTAATACAAGCATATTTATTTATAAAAACCTATTTTACATTTATTGATTTAAAAATGTAAAATGTTATGTTTACATATTTTATTATTTAAATATATAAATGTGGTACACACACACACAAAGTTATTTGTACGTAAAGATGAGAAAAGCTAACAAGGAAATTAAATTCGAAACTTTAAAACTTTCGGTGCTTCAGGATATAAATAAAAATTGGTTTTTTCATCATGTTTTCTACTGTTGTATATTTATATCCAGGGGCTGAAAGAGGTTAGACGAGGCACCATCCAGTCACAAGTCACAAATGTAAAACCCCACCTTTCTCAGTCATGAAAATACATGAATAAAATTAATTAAACATATCTTTTATATTTTACCTAAAAAGCACTTACGTAAAAGACTATAGTTTAGAAATCTCTCTGTTAGCAAATAGCCATGTTGAGTTTCCATTTTTGGACTCACTTTTATGAATTCTGTAATTACAATACAGTATATAAGCTTGTTTACGTCGTATATTTTCATTCTTGGCTCTTTTTTCCCGGTGGTATTAAGAAAGCCATTTGAATCTATCTATTGCTTGCGACCGGGTGTTGAGGGATGGGACCCGACATATCTATGACAGACCACCTTCCTGGAAAACTGGGAATGTTCTTCGGGATTCGATCCCGAATCGCGGCCGTCAACCTCACTATTTAAGAAAGAAAATTATGAATTGGAATATTTTATATTTTTTGTTAAACGTACCCATTCTATAATTTATTATAAATAGAAATTTTTAATTGGTTTCTTTTCATAATCTCAAGCGTTATCGCTTCCAATGAAGTAAGATTCTATATCTTTGCCGCTGAACGTTCGCAGCCATCGTTTTCCGTTACTACTAGAAAGTTACAAGTGGAATCAAAGCTTTAGATAATTTTTAATTTGTATAATGAAGTAAACAGTGTGTGAATAATTTAATTACTTTAATTAATAGTTACTTAAAATAAACTTAAAAACTTAAATAAGAAGAATATAGCAAAATTTTATTTTGTTATATTCTTCTTATTTTAGTTTTTAAAATTATAACAAAATTTTATTTTGTTATTTCTTAATGAAACATAACATACATATATACAAATATATTTTTATGTTCATAATCCAAAAATGGCGAGCAGCAGGCGAAAGGAGCCTACAATCCTACAAACTATCCATTCAACAACTTTCTCTACACCTTCCTGTCTAGACGCATCTCCTTTACTTCAGACACACTCATGAATCTTCTAGCACACTTTCTCACATTCTGACTTAACACCTATGTTCTTTCAGATACTCATCCAACCAAGACTTTCTCGGCTTTCCCCTACCATGCTTTCCATCTAACTTTCTCTTGTATACTCTATTCCAGTGTTTTTCAACCTTCTTCAATACGCGAACCCTTTACAAGTTAAAAAAATTCTGGAGACCCCCAGGGCCATATTAAAACTATATCAGTGATTTTAAAAACTACGTATTTAATTTTCTTTCTGTTGAGACCTAAATATCGATCGAAAAACCAATTGTACTTTAAAATAAAAACGCAAAGCCTTCTCAGTAAAATTGTAGTTTTATTTATTGTAGTGTAGGACCTACGAACACTTGTCTTTTTCTTTTACCCGCGACCCCCCGTGTAAGGCTTTGCGACCTCCCTGGGGGTCGCGACCCACAGGTTGAAAAACACTGCTCTATTCAATGGTTCTTTCATTCTCTCAACATGGCCGAACCATTGTAGACCCCATTTCTTCACCTTTTCAATTACATTCTCTTTCAACGACATTCCGACTTCGACATCTCTACGCATAATGTTATGTGCAACAGTGTTGGGTTGAAGCTCACTTCCAGCAAAAGGATTTGGATTCGACATTTATTAGACGACCAAATGGGCGAAGCGTATTCCACTTTGAAAGAATTTGTTTCATATCGTATTGGAATCCGATCAATTTTTATACGTAATTTGGAGCGGATATGTTAGCTTTGATCCTCACCATCCGATCGTTTTATTTGGAGCCGAAATCCGTGATTGACTGAATAAAAGTAGATCCCACAGAACGGTTGGACTGATATGATGGGATAAAAATTCGCATCATATCCGCACATTAGATCTATCTTCTTGGGAAGTGATCTGCCAAAGGGAATTTGGCAGTTCACCTCTCAAGAAGACTTTTCGATGGGAAAACTAGCTCCTTTAAAAGTGTTAAAGACATGAAGAAAATCTGGAAAATGCCATACAACGGCCCATTGGTCTGGCGCGAACCGGGACCAATAGTGGCGTAGCGTAGTGGGGGCGGCAGGGGCGCCCCGCTCCGGGCGGCACTTTTAGGGAGCGGCAAAATTTCGCAATAAATAATAATAATATCTTGTAAAAATTTGAACCATTTCATTTCATATTTTTGTCGCACCTACGAATCAACCCATTGAAATGAGCACGGAATTTTTCATTACTTATGACGAAATTGAATTTTAGTCTTTTAAATTAAGATACCTAAATAAGGGGGCGGTAGTGTTACCCCCGTCCGGTTTTCATCCGGACAGTCCGGGAATCGACTCACTGTACGGGTGAACTATTAATTTTTTTTCCGGGAATATCGTGCCCAACCTGTCTCGATCTTTTTCTTTTTTCTTTTTTTTTTTGCTTGTTCGATTCGTATTCATACATGTCTCCAATATCCAATAGAGCTAAGTCATCTGTAGCTGATTTTCTTAATTTAGGTTACTTACGTTACTCCTATCCAAGTCTCCCTAACCTCTAGTAACTGTAACTGGTTTAGAACCGGCATACACTGCACGCCATTCTTCGCATTGCAAAATGACATTGCGCATGCGTCAGGAACTTCTGTTCTAACAAACCTCACCTGCCGTCCTGGCAGGTGAGGTTTGTTAGAACAGAAAAGGTGGTAACACTAGGGAGCGGCGAAATTTTCCTCCGCCCCGGGAGGCTGACATCTACGCTACGCCATTGGAGACCAATTACCAATGTTCTGTAAGATCGTTCTGACACTAGTAACTAAAGAAATTACCGGTGCCAGGGCTACAGTCGATCTCACAGAAACGTTGAAAATCGTTTGACTGGACGTGAACAGGAGACGTTCAGAAATAGAATCGGGACCAGGTCTCTAATTAGTCTGGAAATGGGGGACCTAATTCTTGCATTCTGTGAAAACGAGTAAGATTGGCTATAATGTAATTATCCGAATCTTCACTATCGTTACTTTTTGCCCACAAATAAAAACTCTCGAAGCGGGTCCTTGCAGCTAGTCATGAATAAAATATAAAGAAGCTATGATTACTTACAGGTTATACAAATGAGCAACGAATACTAAGTTTCCTCTTTGGGTGTATAAGTCGAGTTTCGCTTTCAACATTTCAAATGTAGGAGTATGCTTGTCGACGTTAGAGTTCTTGAGTTCTTGGATAGAAGAATACTTCGTAGGCTTGTTTTCGGACCAAGGTCGATTCAAAGGAGAGAGCCGAAAGGAAGACTTGGAAACCCAGTAAACCGAACATTGTTTTATATAGGGAATTTTGCTTCTGCTAAATAGTAGCTTGGATATTTATATAATAGAATTCATTGGTGTTATATTATCTCTGTCTCCAAATACAATCTGTTTTAGATATCTCATATTCAAGTTCATACTAAAAGATAGATCTAATGACGAGCTATGTAGTGTGGGTAGGTAATTTATACTTATAAATGAATGTGGAATAAATTATTAATATATTATGATTAAAATCAATCGCTTTTTATACCGGTAGTTTTTGTTTTGTTTTATTTGTGCACGGCTACGCAATACATGACCGCTGGAGGACTTTCTATGGAAAACTAGTCCCCTACTTAGGTATTACTAACGTTAAAAAAACTGGAAAACTCTACTTGGTCAGCCCGTTGGCGAGGCGCGGATCCACGACCAACTACCAGTGCTCAGTGGTTTTATCCATTGGCATCGGTGGGTCCTGCTTTTTGTAGTTTAGGGATTTTATCCATTTGGTTTTATTTTTCTAAACTCTTTCCTCTCTGCAGACTTTACGAGGGTCTTTTTATCGGGCCCATTGTAGGTTCAGCCAAGTCTTTAATGAGGGGGCCAGATAGTCACGGAAGGGGTCTGATATATTCAGTTAGTAACACCCCCGAAAAATTTCTGAGATTTTCCGATCAGTCCGGATTCGTTTCCGTGTTCCCCAGAGCGGTAGGCTGATACCTTAACGACTTAATTATTTTGCCATCCGGTCGGCAACAATTATCTACATGGATACTGGTGGACTTAAGGAATAGAGCTCGATATATTCGACACAAACCACTCACAGAAAAATTCCCGAGGTTCCGGGTTTACACTCGAACGTGGGTCTATCAGAGCGATGGCTGACGCCTTTACCACGTAGACAATTTAGTTGTTCGATCGGATAACTTTAAACGGAAAGGTTTACTTTCCACTTTAAGATCCGAATTTGAATGAAAATTAGATCTTTAGATTTTTTATGGATTATTTATTTTTGATATGTTCTGTCCCATCTTTCATCGTTCAACTAATCTCATTACAGTTTATCTGTATGATATAAAACACGATCTTAGTGCTCACAAGACAGAAATAATTTATAAAATTAATTATGAAAAATGAAGTTTGACTGATTGCTATCATGTTTTACGCAGCTGTATAGCCACAATTTCTCCCATTTCTGAGACCTGACTGCCGACGAAATTAATAAGAATAGGTAAAGGATGAGGAAAAATCACATCGGATCCGAATTTGACATTTTCATTATAGCAGATATTATCAAATGGTCACTCGAAATTGCATCAGTCTAATCAGTTAGACTTGTTGACTTGTGCAGTTTCGATTTGGATTCACAATTTACGATAGTAATTTGGGCAAAGAATTCATTCTCTCCTTCACATATTAGCCAATACTATTGGATGGCCGAGAGATTAAGATGGCAGCCTACCGCTCTGGTAGACCCGGGATCGAATTCGAACGAGTCGAAAAAACCCCAGGAATTTTTCGGGGGTGGTCCGTCCGGATATATCGGGCCCCATCTCTCACCACCCGGCCGTCCCATTGTGAATCTGGCCTAAACCATAATGGGCTTGCTAAAAGAGGCCGTCTTAGTGCCCGTAGGGCGGAAAGAGTTATAAAAAATGATGATCCTATTGAATGGGAATAATTAGAACTCATAATCATAAAGAAAAATCACAATGTTATAAGGTAGTCGACATATTTTAATATTAATTATTACATAAAATGTATTAATAAATAGTCATTATTTTAATCAATTTGCGTTTTTAATTATAACATAAAATCACTCATTTTCAATGTGATAAACGTGGATGGCAGCATGGTATATTCAAGATGGCTGCTGAAATGTTTTTAATAAGGAGTTGTTTTACTCCGTAGTATTTTTTTGAATAGTAACTTAAAAAAACTGAGAAAATGTCAGGGGTCCAGATGTGTAAGAATATGTTTTGTCGTTGTTTTAGTGGAAGTAACGGTGTCGGTGATTATGTATCGATGAATGATCAGCCATTAGTTGTATTAGATACGAGCAAGATGGGTGAGTTGAATATATTGATGGTTAAATAGTTAATTAAATAGTATATTTTCAAGTTATAATAAACTTACAAAATCTATAAATTAGATATATTAGTCAGAATATTACTTAATTTTATTTAAACGGTTTAAAATATGGTACTATAAGATAACAATCCAAATATAGATTTGTTTATAAAACTGCGAAACAGATGTATAAACTAGTCTGTAGGATGTGTTGGCTGATCTCTCAAATAATTTATTATTAAGAAGGATGGTTTTTAAATATTTCTGATTTGAAACTGAGTAGTTACTTTGAAGAAATTGACATTGATTAGCCAAGCATTTGTTGTTAGACGAAACTACACGTTTTTCTCAACACTACCTTGACATTGATTATTGAAATTGACATTGATTAGCCAAGCATTTGTTGTTAGACGAAACTACACGTTTTTCTCAACACTACCTTGACATTGATTATTGAAATTGACATTGATTAGCCAAGCATTTGTTGTTAGACGAAACTACACGTTTTTCTCAACACTACCTTAGCCTGTATCTGAGCTATACTGTGACCTATCAGAGTATTTTCTTAATTTTTTAAGATTTTTTTTTCAGTTCAGATTTTTTCAGAAAATGTTGTAAGGCCGTGGTCCTCTACTTTCATACATTCTACTTTTGTACAATTTGCTACAATATACATTTCATACTTTTGATTTTTATTAATATATATATAGATAAACATGCGTACTTTCATAAAATGATTCTCTCTTTGTTATGAACTATTAGTGGTTAGTTCCTCTCCACTTCTCCTACATTAATCACTTCCATTTTCGGTGTCACAGGTTCAGTCTTGAGTTAGCCTTCATGCATCTTGACAAATTTTTAACCATCATGGAATAATGTGATCTCAATGGAGAATGTATATCTCGTGTATGAAGGGCAATAGAAAAAGACAGTGTGTTGCAGAACTCTTTATCAAGAAAAGAAAAAGAAGAGTACAATTTATTTATCTCTTGACAAATATATAAAGAAAACACCAGATACTAATCAATAAAAAATAAATATTTTGAAAACCCTTTTTGATGTTTTTTACATTGTTCTACCTTTGTACATTTCAATTTGTCATACACATTTCAGGAACCAATTAGGTATGAAAGTATATCACCAATTAGGTATGAAAGTATAGACTGTCTGTATATCAAATTGACAGTGAGAAGGATACTTATGATGATTAGCTAATATATACTGGTAATGGTTATGTGTTTATTGTTAATGCTAGTGTAGTTGTGGAACAGAGAAGGATACCGAATTATAACAGATTTTACTCGAGTCATTAAAAAGTTGATTTTTTGAATCTGTAAATGAAGTAATGTTGACAAAAATGATAGTGAAAGAATGTGCAGAAAATTCTGATGCTGAACAAGAAATTTGTAATGATGAAGTTATTATGCATTACATTGACATTATATTGACTATATATGCATTACTATGCTAATATAATATGTTAGCATAGTATGCACATTAATACACATATTAACATATATAGTCAATATTCTCAATTTATCAACTAAAACATTCATAAACTGAGAATATTGACTATATTTGTAAATCAGTTATTGCAGGTTTCACTTCAGATTATTATTGCACCTTTTTTTTTTTTTTTATTAAATTCTGTTAAAAATTCTGTAAGGAAAAACAAAAGACAAAAATGTGTTGATTCTGATAGAAATTGAATCAATTGAAATAAATGAAATATATTTAATACCTGTAATTCAGGAGTTATAGACACAAATTTCCAATTTATATGCTTTCAGAAAGATTTCTAAATATAATTTAATGTTTAAGTTATATTAAAAGACAAATATCTGTTTATTAGCACAATTAGGCATTAATGAAATACTTTAACTTCTCAAGATTTCTAATTATATGAATTACTTAAGTAAGCATTAAATAGTTCAGGATAATTCAGTTCACTATTTGTGATTCACTACATTATTATTTACTGTTGTCATTATTAATGATGCAATATAAAGTATGTAGAGAGAGTAAGTATTATACATTCCATTTTCAGCTGTAGACAGGTGTTAAAACAAATTGTGTTCTTGTTTTCACTGCATTGCAAGTAAGCTATAGGAGAAGAGTATGATGCTATAGTTTAAGCTTGTGGAATTAATTAAAAGATCTAAGATTTGAAGTTGCAAATTATCAAAAGTATTTTTATCAATAATTTAAAAAAAAGGATTATCAATAAATTTCCAGTTAAATTAGCTGTCTTGGAAATCACAAAAAGATCACAAAGTTATAAAAACAAATTTTAATAAGATCTTTTGGCATTAATAATACAAAAAAAAAAACCATTCAAAAGTCCAGCATAATTCTTTAATAACATAAGAACGTTTGGTTTTGAATGGTTTTTTTTATATTATTAATTTTAGTCTCCAATAAGCAAGTATATATTTATTTGATCTTTTGGCATTTTGACAGTCATACTTATTTAGAGTTTTATTTTTATTCTCATTTAGAAAGTAGGAAACCATTCAGGAAACATAAGGCACTAATAGTGGCAGGAGAGAGATTGGATCGAATCTTTCTTATGAAAACCGTTGCTGAAGAAAATTATTACTCTGCTTTACAATTAGTAGGCTTCATGGTCCATAATGCATCATACAACTGATGTAGATTTTCATTTCTCTTTTTCTGTGCTTCACATATTGCAAACTCACTTCATTGAAAACAGAGGATTAGTTAAGTAATCAAATGTTTTTGACTCCAAGTTTATTCATCTCATGATGGAGGCATTTTTTGAAATCTTCCTATTTGTCATCTTCATTATTCTCATCTGGAGTTTTTTGGGTGCTGCTTATATTGATATGAGGTTCAAGATCCTTTTCATGAAACAGCCAGGTATATACAGAAGTAGCATATTTGTTTTAAGCCAGGAGAAATCATCTTGAAACTGTCAGACATTTTTTAGCACATTTCTAGCTTCAGGAGTATGGAGATGTTGCAAAAGGGCAACAGTATTTTGAACTCTTCTTCATTCATACTGTTGATGCAGTTGATGAGCTAAACCAATATGTACATTTTGGGCCTATTATTACCCTTCATCATTTGGTTTTATCTTTCATATTCTTGTTTTTTTCAAATTGTACTTGACATTAAATTTTAATTTGCAATTGTTATTTGAATACAGAAAAATGAATGCCATGTGCCAAATGCTCTTGGTGATCCGGTGATAATTTTTGGCCAAATTTGGCCATGACAAAGGCATCATTGGCTGTAAAAGCCATAAAGTGCTTATCCGTATTGAGTCCAAATTCATTTAATCTGGCATTGACCAACTCCTTATATTTAGCACTATTTAATGATTGCTCATTAAATTTAAGAATTGCTCATTAGAAATGATAAATATCATTTCTAATGAGCAATTCTCATTTTCTGCATGAACATTTATATTCATAAGTCTTTTATTTTGAATAGATATATTTTATCTAGCTGATTTTTGCTTAAGAAAATGACTGCATGATTTTATTTATTCTATTTTTTAGTTGTTTATCTAATAGTTAAATTTACATAATTCTGATAATGAAAAGTTCTTAAGAAATAATAGAGTAATATTAAGAAATATAATTATTGCTATTGAAGTTCTGTAAAGCTGACTTAAAGGAATTTAAATTTTTTAGACTATTAAAATTTTGTGAATGTGATTCCTTAACAGTATTTGATAATTTAATATCTTATGTTTGAATAAATTTTCTGAAGAAATAAAATGTTTTCTTTTATCCTTCTAACAGTAATATTTGCATAATCTAATTACAAACATAGTTATTTATTTGCCAATGCTTATTGAATTTTTAGTGTTGCTACAATTTAACAATTGGAGTACCATGAGAAATATTGTTTTCTTATTAAAACAAACTTTATTGTATTTTATAATCATCAATTAAATATGATTATATATAATTTATACATTACAATTCATTTAAAATTGGACAATCTGAATGTTTATTGGAATTATTAGTTTTTATTAAATTAATGAAGTAAAAAATATATATTTGAAAAAAGAAAATGTGTTATTGTTCAGTAATAGAAGAACTAATAAAGTGTATTTATTGAAATGACTTTAAATGTATTGGTATTATTGTAGTATTGGTATTAACTGTTCATATCATTATTACATTTTATTTTTGATTCTCCAACAAAAGTATAATAGATTATAAGTTCAGAAAGTCAAAATTTGAAACCAAAAAACACACTTTATGGTTAATTTTATTAAAGTGTTGCTCTTGTCATTAAAATTTATCTTTTAACTTAGTAATTTGTACAATTTGTGAATTTTCTTTTTATTTAAAACTTGCAAGTAAGATAAACAAATTTGAGTTGTATTTTATTATTAAAACCATAGTACAATGTAAATTAAAAAATGATTTTAACTGAATTTAATTAACTGAAAACTAATTACTTTATCCAGGCACTCACTTTTTCAAGAAGCCAGAAAATAAAACGTAGGTTAACATTTTTGGAAAGTTCAGCACTCCATCATCAGACTATTGTAATTTAATGAATGTTCTAATTCCAGTACTTTTAAAACAATTATTTTATTTCAGTGTATTATTTTTGTTGGTTAAACTGTAATTGGATCTTTGGACAAAGTATAAGAACAAGTACAAGGACCAAATAATAGGAATAGTAATAAAATACAAAAACTATTTAAATATATAAATGTGGTACACACACACACAAAGTTATTTGTACGTAAAGATGAGAAAAGCTAACAAGGAAATTAAATTCGAAACTTTAAAACTTNGAAATTAAAAATTAGGAATAAAAATAAAATCAAAATCAAAATTAAACAAGCAATTATTTGTTATCACGTCATCACAATGAGGGGCTACAATTTTAATATTTTTAATTTATTTAATTTAAAATATATGCTCTTCACCACAAATTAATAGTGACTTTCTTCTGTACATCATACTTTTCCTTTAACAACAGAGTCCTGCTGTCATCTATCTAACACCTTATAGGGGAAAATTTTTGAATTGAAATAATATGACTTCCCTTTCAATTCAAAAGTAACAATTAACTACAGGTATATACAAACTTCTGGTTTGCATCAGAAGTTCATATATAGTTAATCAGGGCCTCCTGCCCCTAAGGTTCCCATATCTGGGCTTGTCTTTCATCTATTTAACTTAATTCTTGAGGTTAAGGAAAGACATGGACAACAGTAGGAATTTGTAGGTCTACAATTTTTTCAAATTGCAGCCCAACAAAAGTCATTGTGTAGAGTATTCCTTGTTTTGTTTCCATGCTATGCTGTCGGTTAGTACACATATTCATGATTATAAATCAATACTATCCTTTGTGGTTAACCTGTTTTTTATTTTCTGGATTTTTGAAAAAGTGAGTGTTTGGATAAAATGTTTAGTAGAACATATAGAGCTGTCATGTTCCCAGAATCAGTAGACTAAATATCTGTGAATCAACATCATCCATTTATTATTTTAATTTATCAGTATATACATAATTTAATGGTAAATATATTTTATCACAATGCTAATAATTGTTCTTCATATATATGATATCCTTGGCAAAAAATATGGAATCAGACTAACAACATGGTTACTTTGCATATACAGTATATTACTGGGTTCAAATAAGTAATTAAATTAACCAGAAGTTTCTACTAGTGCTCATTGCAAATGCTAATCCGGATGTAATTGTAGAATCATCTATATAATAGGAAAAAGTACAGAGTCAGGTGCACATTGTTATAATCAGTTATGAATAACATCTACATTGGTATGAATTATGGCTTGATGCATGCAGGCATAGACTGTATTTATAGTAGTCTACTGAAATCGATAACCAAGTTTGACAAATAGCTTCAATAACTCCTGCTTAGTTATTAGAGCATGCCTCTTCACTTGTTGCTTCAGTGTCAAGGTCTGATCAGCAAAAGGATACATTATCATCCTGAAATAGGACATTGTTGTTATTCTTATTCATGTTGTTTTCAATAGATGTAATGAAAGGTCCATCCAGAATCTCTACAAGAATTGACATAGGATGCAGCAACATGGGTGCTACACGGGTGTTATTAAAGAATTGTGCTGGACTTTTGAATGGTTTTTTAATTTATTTTATTGAATTTAGCCTCCAGTAAGCAAGTATACTTTTATTTATACATATCCCTTTTCTTATTGTTCATTTCCACATCTCCATTGTCATCACTGTGTTCAGTGCATATATGGTACACATCTTGTCACAGAACAACATTCATCTACTACTATGTTGTCAAGATTCTTTAGCTACTCTAGTCACATAATTTTTTTCTGTTTTGCTATTACTACAGACTTCCTTTTTACTTTTCTGTGCTGATACCATATTTTGTGAATTGTGTTTCTGATAGTTTGTGTTCACACACTTGCCCTGCATCACCTCACATTGATTTTATTTGTTGCAAAGCTCCTCACATTGATTTTATTTGTTGCAAAGCTCATCTACAGTGTGACAAATTCTTTCAACTGTCTATCCTGACACGCAGTTGTCTTCTTTTGCCAGAATATTTGGTTAAACCACTTCCCCCTCTCAACATATTTCTTCCACACTTTGGAGAAAAGACAAACAACACAATACGCCGAAACTTCCCATGTTAATTTTCCATCCTTAATAAGTTTCTCAACTCTTTTTAACATATCAAGACAGCTCCTTTGTTTGAGTAGCAGTTATCTGTTATCATGTATAGATATGCTGCAACTGAGCAAAATTAGCTTATTCATGTTAACTAGATTAATAACCATAATTAAGTACACCACTCAAAACTGATAATTCCATAAATAATTTAATATAAATTATTTACTTGAATTATCTAAAATGTTTATGCTATTTTATGTTGCAACTTTATATGTCTGATTCACTATCTTACACTTATTTGCAAATGAAGATATTCTATAGTTGCAGTGTATTGAACATTTTATATGGATGATTCCATAAGTTTTTCAGTTATGTGGATGATTCCACAATTATTTCCAGATTATTAGTGTTTTGCAATGGACACTAATTCCAGTTAATTCAGTTGTTCATTTGAACTCGTAGTATGTATGCAATATAGCCATGATCAACTTAATTTACTTCATGTCATCATCTCTCTGTCTCTGATGATAAAATGTTTTTGAGGTATGTGTATGTTTTTCCAGTCCAGTTCCATACTTTTTGATGAGATGTATATTTATTTAATAACTGACAATAAAATTCTTTGAATTATATACTTATTGATGATTAATGTAATCCAGATCCTATTTTCAAATTTAACTGTATATATTAATATTGATTCTTTTATTATAGGACTAGATGTAGTCATTGTGAAGAATGGTCATAGATTATGTGGAACAGGTGCTGCTTTAGCCAATGCACCAATTGTTCAAAACAAGGCATATTTTGAAACAAAATTGCAGCAATCAGGTTTGGAAGAATTGTATTTTTAATCCAACAATGGTAATTAAATAGTAGTAAATTAATTATTTTTATTAAATGAATGTAATCTTGAAATCCTTCTTAAGCTTTTAAAATTTTACTTTTATCTTATAATTAATGTTTAAATTGGATTGTTAACTATTTGATTTGTTGTTTATCAAATTTTATTAATTAAAAAAAATTATTATAACTAATAGAGTTAATTTAATTATAATAGTAATTATCTACTAGCATTGAATTTTAGACCTATAAAAAGCAGAATAAGAAACTGAAGAATGTGAAAACAAGACGAAATGCTGTTCATCTAGTTTATGAACACTGAATTTTTACAGAATAATTTCAATTAATACATTTGTTTCTGATACAAATTTTAGAAAAATAATTGTATACAGTAGAGCGTCGATTATTCGAATCAATTGGGGACTGAGGTTGTTCGGAAAATCGATATTTCAGATAACTGATTATGTACGAAAAAATATATTAACCTATCCCATGTTGAAATTTTTCTTTGTTGCGTGTCACTTCGCGTTGAATTTTTGTTGATGTTAAGCCTAACGAAGACTATTGTATCGTTAAAAATTATTTTTTTATTTTGTACAAACAAAATAAATATATTGAAAAATATAAAAACAATAAAAAAATTATACTTCAGAAGTTAATTTAGTATCAAAAACGTAAAATATTTGAGTAGTCCAAGACATAGCCAAAGATTTCAGCTCCACAGCACTGGCAAAAATTTAAATTTGCTGACTGAAATTCTTTCGGATAATTGACATTTCGGATAAACGATGCTCTACTGTATTTTTCTTTTTTTAAAGGAAACTGAATGTACTGATTAATATTATTTTCAAGACTTCAGTATTAAGTAATACAAATAAAATAATAGTTTTATTTTATCCTTTCCTTTTATAGCAAAAGTGTTTTCAGGTTTGTTTGGGTTTAAAGCTATGGTAGGCAAGGGTGGGTGCTTACCTAGCTTATTTATGACTCTTCTATGTTAAATTTTAGTAATTTTAAAACTTATACTATTCAAACCTATTTACATTATATATGACAATAAACTCAAAATTAATTCTGAAAACATTCAAGTAAATGTAAAATGACAAGATTATGAAAAAAATGTAATTAACAAGAATGTACTGATGAGATTTTTCATTTGGACTTTACTAAGATATTTAATAATAATTTCTCAAAACAATAATAAGTTGATATTACAATATTGTAAATTATGATAAATTATGATTTAATTATATGTAATATAAAATAAATTATAAAATATATTTTAATTCATTTTTAGTGAATTGCAATTTTAAAAATAATATGAATATTTTATAGATTATTAAATAATTAAAACAATTACTGAATTGAGTTTATGCCATTTTATAAATTTAAGATGTTATATACTATTCAATTAGAATACATAAAATTTTATTGAAACTATTGATTACTTCATTTTTGACTACTATATTAAAATGCCTGTTAGTAATAATTGTAAGTTTGTATTTAATTTATATTTAGGTTGTGATCAATAAAACATCTTCAGTTTTATTAATGAAAGTTAAAAATGTTATTTTATATAAAAGTATCATTACAATTTCTACTATTACATGATGAATGTATCAAAATACTATTTTTAATTGACATTTGAATATTGCTGATCATTATTGATTTTGAAATCTTTTGATAACTTATGAGTCATTTTTGCTATGTTGATATGTCAAAAAATGTTTCTATATAAAGTTTTTATTTTGTTTGTTCACATTTAACTGAATAAACATAAATGTTTATTTTTAACAACATATGAATACTTGTATTGAAAACAAAATTCAGAATCAAATTTTCTTGATCAGACGATATCGCAATAACGACAGTATAAATATTTTAAATGTAGTTTTTAATATTTTGAAAAGCGTGTTGTGTATAATAATAGAAAATTGATAAATTAACCAAACATTTGTAAATTATTTATCATATCATGTTTCTTCAGTTTTAATAATTCATTGCTGCTGCTGTAGTGTCAGATAACTTGCTGCCTTATGAAATTTGTATTAATTCTGTTTATAAAGGACTTGATTTAACTCCTTTTTTAAATGGTTAAATATTATATATCACATATATATATATATATATATATATATTATATATAACAAAATGTTTTTTTTATTTTGATGATATCTGTGATTATCCTAGAGGCAGACTGCAATCTTTGATGTTAAAATGATATGAATATATCCCATATATAGCATTGTAGTTATGTTCCAAAAAAGTGCCATGTTATGTGAATCTGTGCTATATGAAACAAAGGACTAATGCAAAACATCGGGCTATGTTCCAGAAGTTAGCAAAAGTAAACTAGTCTTTTCTGTCACTAAGAGAAATATGTTGATTAAAGCAGTCAATAATTTATTTCCAATCAATAATTAACTAACAATCACAATTAAAGATACTGTATTACATGTTAATATTAATTTTAGTTAAACAAGGGCATTTTCTTTTTTGAAAAGTATCATTGTCATCTTAGCTTTTTTGTTGATCTTGATCAGAAGTATCAGCACCATTTTTTTATTTTATCATAAAAATTTTTATGGATGACAAAATAAAAATATATAATTAATTGAAAATTTGTTCTAGTGGGTCATGTTTGTTCAGTTAAGTACTGAGTAACTTTTTCAAGAATTTATGTTTGAGTATCAAGATACCACTGTATTTTGTTTGTCATTTTTACAAATGAAGTAATCATTCATAGGTAAGTAATACCTATGATTAAAAAAGTTTAATAACATTTACCTAAAAATGCTTAATTTTCATGTTTAGTAAAGTTTATTTAATCTATAAAAAGAAAACAGAGTGATACTTTTAAGGGCTAAAGTCTGAAAGCAATGATGACAATACCTGCTGGTTAATAAGAAAACTAGGATAAGGAAGAAAAAAGTTGTACTATCAGTTTTCATTAAACCTGACAAAAAGCACAAAATAATTTGAAAATTTCAATATTCTAAAATCCTTGGGCAAATTTGAGACAACATGCTTGCTTGCTTGAATAAAAAAATATCAAATGATCAATTTTACACTTAAAAATTGTGAAATTTTTTAAGATGGACTTCCAAAACCATGTTGTATGAGGGATACCTGTATTCTGAAAATAAAAAATATTTCTAAATTTGAAAAATTATTAACTTTAAAATAATTTTAAAACTATTTTCAATAGCAAATTTATAAATATCACACAGAAAAGATTTAGCTAGTTGTAAATATTAATTTAAATGATATATTAATATGGAATTTAACTAATAACAAAAATTTCAGTGATATGAAATATATAGGTTGTTTTTTTTTCAAGCTCTAATGTTCCATAAAAAAAGACAAGTTTAAATAACAAAATGAATTTATTACCAAAAGTTAGGTACAAACATGGTTACTTTTTGATATAATTGCTGTGAAGATTGAGGCATTTGTCATATCTGTGGACGAGCTTTTCCATCTCCTCTTCATAGAATGTTGCCACCAATGACTTGAGATGGGCCCTAACGTTGTTTTGAAGATTGTCATTAATTTTGAACCTCTGCCCTCCTAGCCACTTTTTCTGTTTAGGAAAGAGATGGAAGTCACTTGGCACTAAATCGGGGCTATACACTGGGTGTTTAAAGGCAGTGAAGACTTCCACCTAGCTTGAAACTTTTTAATGTGTGAAGACTTTCATCCCTTTCCTGAACAGAAAAAGTGGCTAGGAGGGCAGAGGTTTGAGACTAATGACAATCTTCAAAACAATGTTAGGGCTAACCATGTTTGGTAATAAATTAATTTTGTCATTTACACTTGTCTTTTTTTTATGGACCATTGGAGCTTGAAAAAAAACAGCCCTTGTATTTGTTATAATAAATTAAAAAGTCAAATAACTTATGTATATCAGGTAAAGCTGTATTGTATGGGAAAAAAATGAAGTTACAAAATATTGCTATTGAATAATTATCATTTATGAATGACAATAAAAAAGTTAGTTAATATGAAAGTATTGGTTACATATGACAAAGTAAGGAAAAAAATTACTCTGCTAGTTCTAAGTAGTTCATATTCATTGAAATTAAAAACATTTGAATAATTTAAACCATAAAATTACTTATGAATTTTTATTATGCAAGCATGATGTTGCATTTCATCACAATAGAAGGAATAAAAACAAAAACAGGTTACAAATTTGTACAAAAATTTATTACAAACTTTACTACAAAAAAAATTTTTTTTTAGATTACTGTATTAACTTAGTTATTGGATTTTTTTTTTAATCTTTAAATTTAGATTGTCACTTAATTCAAATAAAAAAACTATTACTTTTTTCAACCTATATTATTTGTCACTGCTGTATTTTTGCATAAAGTCTATTTCATTGAATTATTTTCTAAATGTTCAATTGTAATTTTATTTTATAAGTGAATTTTTTTAATCAATGAAGATGAAGTTAATTGAAATATTGCATAGATATAATAAAAGAATTCTGGTTTATTTAGACAAAGAAAGATATTACAGATTAAATATTTTTAACAGTTTGAAGCAAGCAATTTTAAAAAGTACAATGTAAATTCTTTTAATAGAATATTTACTGCATTCTTCTATATTTTCTGGCTGAAAAGAATTTTTTGATATGAAGAGGAGAATATTATGTTCGTAATACTGTATAAAATAAATGCTATGATACTGATATCTAATACAGTGGAAAACAGATTTATTATTTTCATATATACATTTTAAAAAATATTTTAAATTTATTTCTGTCCTTCCATACAATTCAGACATTACCAATGTATTAGATATACTAAAAGAAAACTGGGGACTATATACTTTGACTGTTAATATGTCTAGTTGAATTTAAGATCCACTCTGGATTGATCTTTCCTTCCAAAATTTTCTAATTTATTTACTTAAAATTCAAAAGTAAATTTTAATTGTGACTATTTATAAAATATGACAGCACAACAGCTTAACACTAGGTCAAATTTTGGAATTAATTAAT